GGAACGCGGCACACGGCCCGGTGCGGGTCGCCTGGAGGTTTCCCCGGCGCTGGTCTCGGTGTCCGTGAGCTGTGTCTGAGGGCAGCCGTTAAACGCCCTCCGCGAGTAGCTGCGCGGTAACGGGCGTGTCCGGGCACGCAGGCAGCAAACGGGGTTACAGGCGTGCTGGCAGTGTGAGATTTGGAGGATTTTATAAGCCATGTGTGTCCACTTGTTTACTGAAAGCCTGCACTATTTCACATTTTGTTTTCTGTACTTTTGTGTAGTTGCTTATTCTTTCTACAGCTTTAGAATCTGAGGTAATAAGTTGTGGTTTGAATCTTTCCACGGCACCCGTCGTTTTCTGTTGCATGTTGTGTTGGCTGTGCCTTTATTGGTGATGTTTGTTTTGCAGATTCTGATTCTGGGTCTGAATCCGATTCCGATCAGGAGAATGCTGGCTCTGGCAGTAATGCTTCTGGCAGTGACAGTGACCAGGATGATGACAGAGAGGCCATAAAGCCTAGTAATAAGGAGTTATTTGGAGACGATAGTGAGGATGAAGGGGCATCGCATCACACAGGGAGTGACAACCACTCTGAAAGATCCTACAACCGCTCGGAAGCATCAGGGCATTCTGAGCATGAAGACAACGATCAGTCAGATGCAGAGCAGCACAGTGCTTCAGAAGCTGCTCACGATGATGAGGAGGATGATCACGGGCATGGGTCGGATGAAGGCAGTCATCATTCAGAGGGAGAGGGTTCTGAAAAAGCACATTCGGAGGATGAGAAGTGGGGCAAGGAGGACAAAAGCGATCAGTCGGATGATGAGGAGAGACAGCAGAACTCTGACGATGAGGAGAAAGCGCAGAACTCTGATGAAGATGAAAGGCCGCAGATGTCTGATGATGAGGAAAGACTTCAGAACTCAGACGAGGAGAAAATGCAGAACTCTGATGATGAGGAGAGGCCACAGGCCTCAGATGAGGAGAAGATGCAGAACTCGGATGATGATGAAAGGGCCCAGCATTCTGACGAGGAGAAGATGCAGAACTCTGACGATGACGAAAGGGCCCAGCACTCCGATGAGGAGGACCAAGAGCATAAATCTGGTAGGACTGAATAGAGAGCAGTAATGGTTTGCTTCTGGTTTGATCTCTATTGTTTCATTTTTATTGGCTTGAAAAGATTCAGGCTTCAGTGTAAAGGCATTAATCACGTAGCTTTCAACTGCAGTCATCTTTGTAATGGTCTTTATGCATTGCTTTGAAATTCCTTTTCATCTGAATCAACTTATTAATACAAAGGAATTTTAAAACCTGTGGAACAAAATTTTTAATTTTTTAATAATTTTAATTTTTAATAATTGTGCTCCTCAGTAGAGTCTGCAAGGGGCAGCGATAGCGAAGATGAAGTTCCACGAATGAAGCGAAAGAAGCCAATTGCATCAGATTCAGAAGCGGACAGTGATACGGAAGGACAGAAAGGTAAATGGTGGCATTGTTTGGTGGGGTTTTGGTTCATTTAAGCCTCATCTCAAGCGTGCCACTCATTTGCTGCAGAACTTGATAAGATTGATAGTGCTTGCTATACGATGTAACTATAGTGCCATGGAAGTAACAAACCAGCACAGCAAGAATTCTGTGTGAGGAAGTACACTCTGTATTTCTGCTGATTATCTCTAGCTAGCTCTGTCAGTTTTTCAGTTCCCTCCATGAGAGACAGAGCTTTTCTTTTGAGAATGTTTTTTCACACATTTTTACTAAAGGATGTTAAGAAATGGAGTCTCTAGTCGGAACAGCCCAGAGAACCTGTACTGGTTTTTGTGATGTTTAGCTGGCTGAGAAAGAGGTGTTGATTCTTCTGAGAAGTGAAGCCTCCAAAATGTGTAATGAAGTGGCTGCTTGCATGTATTTCAGTTGTTTACTTGATTAAAGGGTGATCTTGTACTCTTAATTCTTCTGTTGACATTTCTCAACTAGATTCTCTGTCAAATAAGAGACTTTCCAGGAAAACAAATCTTGAATCCTTAGCTTAAAAGTACACAGGAAAACCGTTATTCAGGGTAAAAGAATGATGTGTACTTCATAAACATTTACGATTTTTAATCTTTGTAGGTGATTTTTAAATTAATAAAAGTGAAGGATGTGTTATTCTTTTTTTCTTTGAGCGTGCTTGCATTAGGGGGGGTGTGTGCACATGTATGTATGCGTATTTTAAAATAGTAATTTTTCTGTTCAAGAGCATGCAGATGTCATGGATCTGTTTGGAGGTGCAGATGACATTTCGTCAGGGAGTGATGGAGAAGAAAAGCCACCAACTCCAGGACAGCCCATTGTGAGTTGACTTTTAAAAATAATTAGCGTGCCTTTTCACTCTGAAATGTAGAACACTGATTGTGTTTTATAATATTTTAGTAAAAAAAGAGGTAGTGGCATTAATAAGCATTACAGATAACTTTGCTCTAGCTAAAAAGCATTATTAAAGTTTTATACATAGCAATGTCAGATGGATTCATTTATCTGCCTTCCCCATCCCTGCTCCACTTTTTGTACTTGAAAGAAACATAATGATTAGTTTTGATTGTCATAAAATAAAATACAAAGTCATAGCTGTCTTTAGTACCTTAGTACAGCTGTTTGACAAATATTTTCATTTTGGGCCTTGATGATAATACATTAAAATATTTTTTTTATCTGGGAAAAGTTATCCTCCATTTACTCTCCAGTGCTTAGCTGAAAACTGTATGTCAGCTCCCTTGCTGTTGCCTTACCGTCTGTGGTCTCTTGAGTTTGCACTGCTGTTTGAAATCACTTTAAGTGGCATATGGAAATGCTGAATTGAATTGCTTTCACTGAAAATGTGCAAGTTCTTTTACCCAGAGGTTCCTGATTTTTCTCTGTGCATATGGATGATATTTCTTTAAGCAAAATGTAAGTGCTTATTAGAGCACCGGTAGCCAGACAGACTTTTTTCACCTATGTTCTCCTTTTTTTCATTAGGATGAAAATGGACTGAGTCAAGAACAGCAGGAAGAAGAGCCTATTCCAGAGACTAGAATAGAGGTAGAAATACCCAAAGTCAACACAGACTTGGGTAACGATTTGTATTTTGTGAAGCTGCCCAACTTCCTTAGCGTGGAACCCAGGTAACTGCACATAAAATATATGACTGCTAAGGTTTTTTAGTGTTTCCCTGTATTGCTTTTGTTTCAGTAATACAAGTAAATACGTTGGCCATATTTAAAATGGTCGACACTAAGATGCACACTTTGGTTGTGAGCAGTCACTAGTAATATCTCTTGTTATCTAATGAAGTGCTGAGTAATTTTCTTATGAGCTTGGGTTTCAGCTTGATTGAATATCCTTTTTTTCTTTAAAAAACCAAACAAAAATAGAATTTAATTGAAAGCACATGCTATCAGTTGAATTTTAAATGTAGGTTCAGGCTCAGCCAAGTGCACAGGATCTTTATGGACTTTTGAGTGATAAAAAAATCATCATTTTTAATTTTAGAATAAGTCCTTTTCTATTTGTGTGTGTTAAATGTAGTAGATTGCTTCTAAACCTGTCTCTTCAAGTGTCTTGTTAAGCAACAGTATTGCATTGTTTAATAGGCGTCTTGTTAGCTGGCAGCGTAGCATTTTTTCTGTTATACATCAGTTAAATCCTTCTTCCTGGCATTCATGCTATAGACTGTATCAGGAGAGAACTGTTAAGAATTCAGTTAGTGGCTGTAATCAGAGAAGTCCTGGGGATCTTTGGGGGTCAGACAGGACTGAAAATAGAATTGTACAGTAGTGGAGCCTATTTATCACTTCTTTGCCTCGCAGCAGCCTGGAAACTGTTAGGAAGGAGGCTAGGGAATGGCTCTCCCCACTCACTCCCACCCCAGTCATCAGATTTTTTTGAAGGAAGAGAGGAAAAACAATCTCTTCTTCCTTTCCCTTTGGTTGGTTTTGAGATTCAAATAAAAAAAATACAAAGTTTGTGCTTTTGGAAAATCCCTAATTCACCACATTTATGAGATTATAATATTTCTTTTTATTTTCTCTGTACAATATTGTATATATTTTTTTCCATCCTTACCTCATCATCCAGATGCTAAGGAAACAGTATTTTCTGAAGCAGACTGTCTGTCTTTAGCTAGAGCCATTTAGAGGGTCTGGATGTTAAAGTGGCTGTAATAGATGGTCGTGAACACACTTGGGGAGCCCTCCTGCGGTGTTGAATCAATGCAGTAAGTTACATTACTGCAGAAATGGCTGTCTCACAGCTGCGGTACCTACTCTTGTGTGCAGTGTATAATTTAAACCTTTCAAGCACCTGTTATTTTGCACAACTCTAGAATAATCTGGATTAATTTTTAGAAGAATGAAGACTGTATTATATAATTTATTGCAGACCTTTTGATCCCCAGTATTATGAAGATGAATTTGAAGATGAGGAGATGCTTGATGAAGAGGGTAGAACTAGGTTAAAACTCAAGGTATAATGTTAATTTTCCTTTTCTCTTTTACACTCATCTAGCCACATTTCTTCCAAGTCTATTTCAGGTATTTTAGAATGGTTTTGAGCTATGCTTCTGATTATGAAAGTGTGGACCAGTTCAGCACTGAGCAAAGTTGATCCATTTTAGTAATAAATTTTAAAAAAGCTTTACAGCTGCATCTCACCTGTAAAAGCGATACCTCTCACCTTCAATTCTTTGCATCATGCAGCAAATTATCTAGCTTTTCTAACTGTAATTTTTGACCTATATAGAGTATATTTTACCACAGTATTCCTTAGTATAAGTTAGAAAAAATGTTTTGTTTGTTTTCCCACAGGTAGAAAACACGATACGATGGCGGATGCGACGAGATGAGGAAGGGAATGAGATCAGAGAAAGCAATGCACGGATAGTCAAATGGTCAGATGGAAGGTTGGTTTGAACTTTTTGCTATTGAAGGAATACAGTTGTTCTCACAGTGAAAGGCCATGGCGTGCAAAATGGGAAAGTCAACAGACTTTGATGTCAGTTCTGCACAGCAGAAATGTTTTTAGTCTCAGTGCTTTGAAAATTTTATGCTCTGCTTAGTTTGGATTGAAATATAATTATTGGCTATATATAAAAAGGAAACATGAAGGCTTTCTCCATTTATAAATGAAGCAAAAAATAGACGGTAGTGGTTTTATTAAATAACTGATATGTGAATCTCTTTTAAGCATGTCTCTCCACTTGGGAAATGAAGTCTTTGACGTGTACAAGGCGCCACTGCAGGGAGACCACAACCATTTATTTATCAGACAAGGGACAGGTCTACAAGGACAGGCTGTTTTCAAGACAAAGTTAACCTTCAGGTAGACACGCTATTCTGTATCAAATGTTTATACTACTTTTGTAACTGAGTATGGTAACGAGTATATAAAGATCAGAGATACCAGTTCATAAACCTTCAGAGCTTAACTGTTTAATAAGAATGTACCATTTTCCAAAGTCAGTATTTCGGTAAGATTTTTCCTAAATTGGGTGTCCCAGTTTGAAAGGTTAGTATGCCATTCACTGCAATATGTAGGCCACGTGTATTTTTTCATATATATTTTAATTTGCATTTTTAAGTGCAAGTCCTCATCTGAATCAGAAAGAATATTAATATTGCCAGAAATTAACCTTCCTTCTGATGCACAGTTGCTACCAAGATGATATCTGAATCAGAAAGAATATTAATATTGCCTGAAATTTAACCTTCCTTCTGATGCACAGTTGCTATCAAGATGATTATTATGTCTTGGGATATTGATGTGAAATGTGAGGATGATTATTTAGGCTGGTAATGGACTGCAGATGGTTTGCTGAGAGAGGAATTGGTGTCTCTAGTAGCTGTTACAATGCACATAAATAAATAAATGAATAAATAAGGATGATGCTTTTGTGCAGATGAATCTTTGGAATTTTAAGTATGCTGGCCCTACTGTTATCCTTTAAAAATGGATACGTTCCTTGAAGAAGTATTTAACCCGTAGCAATTTTTTCCAGGCCACACTCTACGGACAGTGCCACTCACAGGAAGATGACTCTGTCTCTGGCGGATAGATGTTCAAAGACACAGAAAATTCGTATTTTGCCAATGGCAGGTCGCGATCCAGAGTCTCAGCGCACAGAAATGATTAAGGTATTGTGGCATGGAACTCTCTTATCTGCTGATTTAATCTAAAAAATCACAACTGTAGTATAGCTGGACATTTCTGAACAGTTTATGACTTTATGAAAAACAGCGTGCATTTTGGAGGTATAGACAAGAGTTGTTACCCGTGGGTGCAGTGTGCTTAACCTTACAGATTACAAAAAATCAGAATACGTATAATCTTTACACTGCTGTGAAATTATTTCAAAAGCTACAGTAGAATACAAGGTGCTCTTGAGCTGGTTTTGGTTGTGGTTTTTTTTCTCCCCTCAATCTTATGTATATTGCTTCTTTCTTTGGACAGAAAGAAGAGGAAAGATTGAGAGCTTCCATTCGTAGAGAATCTCAGCAGCGAAGAATGCGGGAGAAGCAGCATCAGCGTGGTCTAAGTGCAAATTATTTAGAACCTGATCGCTATGATGAAGAGGATGAGGGAGATGATTCAATCAGTCTAGCAGCTATCAAAAACAGATACAAAGGTGGCATCAGAGGTAAATAATAAACCTGAACAGCACATAAGTAGGGCCTGTGTGATTCAGATGGATTAAATTCACCTGCGAGTCCTGGTAAGATGGTATTTTGCCAGTTCATTTCATACACAATGCGACATGAATTCAGTTCATGTAAGCTTATTTTGTTTACTCGGGAGTTAGATGTGCCAGCTTTTTGTGGGGCTAAATGTAAGGGAATTATTTTTAATGTCTCTTTCTCACCAATTTCAGATTAAGATAAATATTTGTTGTTTCATTTTTTTCTGTAGAGGAACGTGCTAGAATCTACTCTTCTGACAGCGATGAGGGCTCAGATGAAGACAAAACACAAAGACTACTCAAGGCAAAGAAACTTAATAGTGATGAGGTAAGGAAAGGATTTTGTTCTTGAGCTATTCATTTTCAGTCAGCAACATTTGCTGTGCTAAATCTAGTTTTTAAAGCTGAGGCTTTTGTAGTTTCATTTATGTTGTGATGAATGTATTATTTGACTTGGCATGCTTTCCATGGTAATTAATCACCAATTTCTTACACACTGTATTAATTCATAGACCTGAGTGACTCCCAAAGGAGGTCAGTATTGGTGTTGCTGATTTAAAGATGGAAAAATTTATGCAGAGTTATGTAAAATGACTTTATCAAAATTATGCAAGGAGTGAGAAGACTTAATACCTGAATGCTAGTGTAGCATTGTCTCCTAAGCTACATGGTCCTCTCCTTTTTATTGTGGAAATAGCAGAAGCATTTTCACATAGTATTTCTGCTCTTTTTAAACAGGAGAGTCAAAAAACTGAGTTAAAATGAGTTAATGGCCATTGCTAAATAGACATTATCCATCACGCCAGTATAATCCGAAACATTAGGCCATGATCGAGTTAACCGTTAGCTACAGCAGTAGTGCTGTTTCCTCTTCTGAAATTGTGGTTTATTGGTTTGTAATTTAACACTGCTGGGTATAAGCAAATGAATCTTTGTGTATATCAGGTCTTGAGGTTTAGTTCATTTCAAGTAACGTCACTTCTTCTGGTACAGCATTGCAGTACAACACTTCTCAAAATTGGCAGATACCATTTCTGAGATTAAAACTTAACTATTTTCATCCAGTGGGAGAAGGGGAACCAGGAAGTATATGGAATCTGTCCTGTATCAGCTATACCTCTGCAGTCTGTTTTCCTGACCCGTGTTCCTCGTTGTAAAATGCTTCAGTGGGAAAGAGCTGTAGGACATTTACTGTGTACCCTGGGAAGCTGAATGAAGAGCGAATTTTGGAATTCATGACAAACGGCAATTGATGCCGACTCATGGCTTCCTACTGCCCTGTTCAAGAGGGAAGTGGGAGGGTCAGGTGTCTGGCCTACTTGGTTTCAGGAGCCCATTAGTTTGCTTTCTTTTAGACACCCCCAGTTCTCTATTACTGTCATTTGCTGATGATCAATATGGTGCAGCCCTGAGCGGCACCTGTGCTTGCATTTCTCTCAAGCCAAGCATGGCTTAGGGGTGGTAGCTTGGACCCACCTGAGCTCTGCTGATAGTCCCCTTCAGGTACATGGTGGAATAATAAATAGAAACTAACTGAGTTTAACAGGTTCTTATTACTACCTTGTAGGTTATGAGAGATGTTTTTACGGTGGCATGCTAGTTTGATTCATCTTATTATATTTTATTTTAAAGTTTATGCATAGAATATCATGCAGAAGTTTAAAAAAGGAAGTTTGAGTAGGTCAGTGTGAGCTTATGGAATAGTTTTTAATACTTGATTTCATCATTTCCTTTAAGAGATTATTTTAACTGTTTAAATTATTGTAACTATTGCCCTAAGATTTCTTTCAGTTGATTTCCTACAGTCATATCGAGTGTGCTACTCTAACAGCTGCTTGAAGTGGTAGAACCTTCTTCTTCCCTAATAAAACATCCTTTTCTTCTTAAAAGAGTAATCTTGCAGCATAGCTTGCTGTGTGTCCTTCTAGCGAATGAATGCAGGTTGGACTTCTGTAATCACAGCTGCTAAAAGTCCTGAGTTCAAATGACCGGTACAGGCCATAGTTTTGAGTATGACATACCTCTATCATGTAAGGAGTCTTAATTTTTGAAGGAGTAAGTTTGCTCTCCGGTGGGTTTCTGTACTGTGCTTCCTGTAACCTTCTTTGGAGGCATGTCTTATTGCCTGTTGGATGTTTGCTACATTCTGAATGCCTGTTCTTGCTGCAGGGACACTGCTCCTCTTGTGCTGTCAGATGAGTATTTGCACTACTAGGCATTGTATTGTGAAGCAGAAGTACAAATTAGTTTTTATTTTAAAGACACAGTTTCTGGGTTTTTATTATGCATTGAAGAAAATCTAATATTTCAAAAAATATGACAGTAATCCTGGAGACAGCCGTAGTGAGGCATGTAGACAAAACTAATTTTGTGAGCTCTGTTAGTGTTCGTTAGTAGCAATTGAATTGGTTATTGATAAGACATCACTATTCACTGGTTCATGATGCAGCAGTGTCAGGACCTCACAACGCCAGTCTCTCAGAAAAGGTCTAGTCAACAGCATTTCTCTGCTGCTTGAGGAATGCTCGCCTCCATTTTAAAATTACATGACTTAAAGGTAATATTCCCATCAGGGCCACGGAGGGGTGCTACAGTATTACGAAAAACCCCAGTGATGCATAACTACTTACTCTCAGTCACCACGTAGGAAGTATGATATTTGTATGGATCTGCATATGTGAAACACAGACCTCCTTGTGCACAGACTGGCTTTGTATGTGTCAGTCAACAGCACAGCATAAATCTTTGTCCTGATGACAATTTGTTACCAGTACTGAAAATACCAGTCTGTTTATTGATACAGTTTATCACCACACAGCAAGTAGTTTTACTGTTACTGTAGTTGATGGGTTTATTCTGCTAAACAGGAAGATGAATCATTTAACGATAGCCGAGCTAGATTACAGGAGCATGCTTGTGCTGAGGAAGAAGCTATCATTGAGATGCCCACCCCTACTAATTTCTGTTTTCGATGCTTAAAGTTCCTTCCTAACCGAGATACTCACTGGACTAACTTAATATGTTAGTATAGAATAAAATGCTTTGAATAAAAAATTATTAATTAGAGTTCTGAAACTCTGATAATTTATTAAAGTTATGAAACTCAATCTTCACTGCTTCTTAAAATCCAAGTAATACATGTTGCTTCAAATACCAAACAAAGCCAAAACCAACAAATGGAAAAAGGGATGAGATTACTTAGACCTGAAGGTGTTTTTCAAGATACTCTTCTTTTTAAACAGTAATTGAGTTACCACTTCATGTCAAAATTTATGAGTTTTGCGTGAACAACTAGTGATTTGTAGTTTGATTAAACACTTCATTGCATTCTGATTTAAAATGTTGTTTGGAAGGATCATCTGGACTGATGTAAATGCACATGGAATAAAAATCAACCTGTTGACTCTACGTTTAGGTGCTAAAACTTGGGCATCCAGCCTATAAAAGTCAGTATGGTATTGCTTGCAAGCAGGTAACTAACTCAATTATTTGAGTTCTTTTGACCAGCTCTCTGAGGCCTTCTAAACTGTCGTATTTCTTGGACTGTGAACTGTGGCGTAGATTCTCTGAACTAGTGGCTTCTCCTCTCTTTTTCCTTTATGCCAGAGAGTGGTTTAGTTGTTTTTTGTTTTTTTTTTTTTTAATGAACAAATAAACAAAATGCCTACCCACTTACTGAGTTAATTCTTTGCTTCAGTAGCTCTAATTTAGGACATACAAGTGTCAATAGTCTGAGAACTTAGCAGAGGTACACAAGCTGCCTGAAGGGAAAGCTTCTCCGTGTTGAAAAATTCATTACAAATTCTAGGAATTAGTCATGCTTGTAAGACTTGCTGAGAATGATATTGCACACACCATAAATCCAAATTATGACATAAATTACTTGCGTGCCATAGTTCAGTTTGCCGCAGATACAGTTACATGTCCATGGAGATAAATGGAGCTGCAGCTGTATTATGGACCCTCTCAGGATGGGGTTGGAGACCGGTAGCGCTGCTGACTGAACTTAAAAAGTACTGACACATAAGCAGTCCTGCAGCACAGTAGCACGAAGTGGAAAACCGAGAACTAATAATTTTACTTCTCTTACAAGAGAGACTTTGAGGTCTTTCTGTTGTTTTACTGAGTTTTTTATTTTAGCTTTGAAGTATTTGTTTGTTTTTGTCCTTTTTTGCCTTTAGGAAGGTGAACCTTCTGGAAAGAGAAAAGCAGAGGATGATGACAAAGCAAGTAAGAAGCATAAGAAATATGTGATCAGCGATGAAGAGGAAGAAGATGATGATTAATATTAAGGAAGCACAAAAGTTGAAACTTTTTTTATATATATTTATATATATATATTGTACAGTTCTCTTACAGCAAAGATGTAAGTAACCATAGTGAGGTTATTTTGATAAAGAAAAATTCCATTGAAGTCTGTGTTTCTGGTGTGAATAAAGTTTTTTGACTTCCTTTTACTTTGAGATTTTTCTCTTATTGCAGCAACTGTCGCACCAGGGATTGTCACAGTGCTGGTTTTTATTTGCACAGTACATTTCAATTTTGAGAGTTGCAGCAACTGGTTATCCAGGTGAATTAATCAATGATTTTTACTGAGTTCATTAGGAGAAACCATTCTAGTCTTTATAGAATGATTAAATTATAAGTTAGCCCAACAAGGGTATGGCAATTTAGTTTACTGTGTGTATGGAAGGGTTGGAAGAACATATGAGGGGTATGGTACAATTCTGTTTTTTTCCTAGATATTCCTTATTTCCTCCTGACTATGGACAGTACGTTACTATGCTGTTATATTTTGATGACTGAAAATATTTCTTATCATGTTTGAGTAAACTGTGAAGTTCCTGCAGGTAGAATAGTTAACTGATCACATAAGACATCTATTTCTCATGCATTGAAGCCCAGAATGAAAATCCACGTCTTGCCTGAGCATTAATAATAATAATAGTAAAAATAATAATTAGCACATGCTAGTGACGTAAATATCAGAGTAAAAACACTTAAACAAAACTAAGACATTTCTGCACGCAGAGATGAAAGTCTCCTTTAAAAGACGAAATGAACCACAATACATCCTAATAATAGTGCCTCATAATCTAATATAATCCTTGTAGTGCTAGTTCCTACAAAATAGGTTTGTTTAGCTGGGAAGTCACTGGAGGAGAATATTCTGTCCAGAGTCACTGCTGCTTTTACACTGTTTCTAAACACATTATTTGATGGTGCAGTACCAGTTCTAAAGTGAGGAAAGGCTAGAAGAAACGTGAACTTTTCCACACTTTCTTTCCAAGATGAAATGTCCCATGTGTCGTTTCTCTCGGTGGTGAGAGAGCATTCAGATGTTATCTGTGCTGCTTTTTTAACTGACTTTTCACACAGTCCTACAGAGTTTGGATGTGACTTGAAAAAGGTAACAAAGAAAACAGAACTAGATTAATGTCTCTAAACAAAAGCATTGACAGATGCTGCGAAAAGTTTATTATGTGGATTTGTGTTACATAAGATGAAATAAAGTAGCTGATGGTTATGTAAGAAGGATGTCACCCATCTCTCTCCTGGCCAGCTGGATTCTGCTTTTTTATAAAAGAGTAGAATAGTGCAGGTGCCTCATAGAGAGCATTTTGCTCTCATGACATGCCCTGGTTCTCTGAGATACAGCTTTCAGCCTGGACCTTGCTTTTGTCATCTTTAATTAGGCTGGTAGTTTGTAAAAACACTCTACCTCCGTTTCTCCTGCCTGGAAGGCACAGGCAGCGTTCTAGCTGCAGTAGGATGGAGCTCTGCGTGCGTTAATATATTCTGCTGAGCAGCTGACTGCAGTGTAGACATTTGCAAGTATGAAAACAAAGTGAAACATTTCAACTCAGAAGTCTGAGTGCCTGAGAAACTGTTCTTTTTTTCTAAAATTAAATTGTTATCTAAGAGTTCCTGTGTCTCTTCAATGTGCAGATAAAACCTTTCTCCATCTGCTGGAATTTTGACCCCGTAATCCTCTTAGTTCAGGCCTCTGCTGGGAGACTGGTTCCTTACATGGGGTTACCTGCTTTCCATTTGTAACCTTCTCAGGAAGAAGCCCACTGTTTGGAAAGGGACTCGTTCTGTATGGAGGTAACATGCTGTACTTGCATGTAAAAGCCTCCCAGGTGCCTCTTAAACAACAAATTTGCTGTATGGAAACACGCTACCATTTCACTGGTGATGTGTTTGCTTTTATGTCAGTTTAATTAAAGTGTTGGCTTTTAAAATTTTTACTAAACTCCTAAGAGTGAAAATGTTTTAATCTCTTTCGTAGGTTTGATGCTGACTAAGCCTTTACTAAGTAAGTGGTCTACTTTAGCTTTCAAAAATGAGGCTTTTTGTGGATTACAAAGATGAAAAGAATTTTTTACACTGTCTTCTTCTGTAAATTGCTCGTCTAAAGTCTTATTTAAATGTGGAATTTTAGAGAGTGTTTTCTCAGCTTAAATTGGTTTAACAATCATCTTGTAATTAAAGTCACTTGAATGAACTTAGCCTTATCCACAGTATTATTTTAGTTGGGAGTCTTATGTATAGTTTTATTTAACTCAAAGCCAGGTTCTGCTATCCCTTTTCCCAGCCTCCAAGTATGAGAGAATTACTTGGCATTGTTTCATTTTACTCAAATTAAAAATATTAAGCCAAAGGAAAGAAAATGTGGATTGAACTATGTTTACTCTTGTACTGACTGGTCAGAATGCTTCCTCCAGAAGAGCATGATTTGGACAACTTCCAGCAAATAAAAATTTCTTTGAAGAGCTGGTATTAAGCTGTGTGAGTACTAGGTTTTCTGGCTAGCGGCAGGATGCAGGATAAATTCTCTTGAAACAGTCACTGAGAGCTGTTCTTGGCCATGTTGTTTTGTTGTTTCAGGTATATCCTTCAACTGTATCCTGGTTTCCAGTTGTTCGTCTGGAGTTTTCTTTCTAGTACCTGGCAGCATTTTCCACCAGCCGTTTTTCTCCATCCTAGCCATGCATTTGATGTTGCAGCACACCTGATGGGCTGGGGAGTGCCCACTGAAAGGAGTGGCTGCTCATGCAGCCCTCTGCTCTTCCTGGCAGCGGGTTTGGCGATAACTAGCCCAGCTCAGTGAGTCACCTTACTAAACCATCAGGAAATTTGTTTTCTGTCGAGATCTTGTGTTTTCTGCCAGGCGTGCCGGCAGAGCTGCCTCATCGGCCGTGTGAGCATCAGAGCCAGCACCATCCGCTGGTGTGGTATGCCAGGGAAGGGTGATCTCTTTGCAGAGGTGAACATTGCCTTGGCTTCCTTTTGAAAACTTAACTCTGACCACACAGAAAGAAGGGAATACATCTCTACCGACGTAGCTGCCTGAACTGGTCCAGGGAAAGTCAGCTGTGCCTTGGGGTGGTGCGAGGGGACAGAGCCTGTGTATGGCACCATGTCCTAGCTCAGCTCTGGTAGGAAGCTGCAGCCCGAGGAATGTGTTACACACGAGATGGTGGCTTCCCTGTGGAGTCAGGGGTGCTTGTTCCCCAGCCATCGGGCACCGGCATCCTCAGTGTCAGTGCTTCTGTTCCACAGCACTGCACTGCCCATCGGGCGCTCCGGGTGGTGGTCAGTGTGCGAGATGGTTACAGGGGAATGATTGAGAAGATATTTGTTTCTGATAAATGTTCTTTTAATTTTTGCTATAAGAGGTATAATGTCTCATGCTTTTGCAGCTTGGGTCGGCCGTTCCAGTGCTCAGGAACTTGCCTGTAGCTTGACTTGGAAGTGCTTCTCGAGAGCAATATGAGTAACGCCTGCTGTTGCCTAGTGATGCCCTCTGACTTGAGCTGGGGTTTTTAATACTTGTCCAGACCTGAAGGACTTGCAGAAAAGCTGCAAAGTGGTATTGATTACTAGCTTGTATCTTTAATTGCTTTAAAACTCCTGGGCATTCTGAGGAACTGTAGAAGCTAAGTAGCTGAGAAAATAACATAAAATTAAGTAAATCTATGCTGAAAGGATTCTCTGTCATGAAGCCTTTTTATGTATCAAAAAAAAAAAATCCTTTGAGAAGACTTTTGGTTTCTTGAGGTTTTTGGTAGTTGTTTTTACAGGGTATTTCTATGCTTTAAAAGCCCACGGATCTTAGGTTACTGGGCTGCTATTTGGAAGAAATCAGTTTAAGTGGAAACTTAACTTCAGAAAGTGTTTTCTGTTGTGGCATGGATTTTTTTTCCCTTAAAGCTTACTCTTGAAGAAGTGAGAGGTGGTAGAGCTAGTTTACCAACAAACATAACTTCATGTCTCTGGGTTATGTTGACATTTTCAGGAAAGCAGTAGCATTCACGCAGTTACTGTGAGTCATGGAATCATCCGAGTGGTATTCTTTGTTTGTTGTAAATGAAAGATAAATAGAATTTTATAAAACAGTGAAAGTATTAAATAACATACCCTCTTTTTTATATCATATGGCTGAGTCAGATTGTATCTCATTTTATATTGTTTCATGCTTTTCCTGTTCTTTGCAAGATCCCTCACTTCAGAATGTAACTGTGGAAGGGAGGTGCTAATCTTAGCCTGGTCATTTGGCAGTTTTCCGATGCTGTTGGGTTTTTTCATCGAGTGTAAAGATGTATGATAAACATTCTGTGCAGGACAGGTTCTTACAATAAGACTCATTACTGATCCTGTGGTAAATCCATTTTTTTGAAAATTGACATGGATACTGAAGGAGCGCTCTCCTTTTCAATACCTGAAGGAAATGAACATCAGGGTTTTGTCAGCAGCAGTACGAGCCCTTCCATTCAGGTGTTCAGTGCCCTTGTATTTAGTGTTCATGGGCTTGGTTTGGGGGGTGTACTTTTGAACTCCACAATCCTGCTATAGCTGTTGCTCCAGGCTTGGTTCTGATCATGTTTACTGCCAGCAGCTTTGAGGTTTGTTAACTGGTATAGAATAAGGTAACTGTATTTAAAGTGCATGAGCTCGCTATCTCCTAGTCCTAGTTTTGAGCTTAAAATAAACTGCTACATGGACTATGCTATATTTGTGAAGGGAGGATTATATCCCAGAGCAGATAAGGGAGGATCAAGCCAAAGTGGTGTTGTTAAAACATGATTTGGGTTTTGTTTTGTTTTGTTTTTTAATTCTCTTGTTTTTCCCTCTAAAAAGTAACTGGAAAAAGTTCAAGTGCCAAAATCCCAGCTGTGCAATTTAGAACTGACCCTGGGCAGCTTGTGCATTTCCAGATTCACACCTGATAATGTTAGGGGGTTTCTCCTTTCTTGCAAGCAAGTTAATCTGTGTTGGTTTGAGGGCAACTGTTAATTTAGATTCTGAAAGGTATCTTTCTTTAAGTAAAGATAGGTCTTTCACGTTTTCTTAGAGGATACCTCATTTTATACTAACATTAACACACCTTGGGTTATTACCCCTTCTCCATACCCACCTTGCTACACTGTGTGTGT